GAGCAACAAGTGATTATATGCTATGTGCATTCATATTCTTAGCTCCCTCGGCAAAGCCACGCTGAAGGGAAACAAGAATATGAATGCACATTACAATTCCTTATAGGGGAAACACATACTAATTAACGGATTACTAACATAGCATATAATCACTAACACACATTACAACTAATAACTAATCTACAACTCATTACTAATCATAACCATTGACTGATTACTAATCGATTAAATAATTACAATACCCCCACCTCTAATCACTGCACCTGATATAAGTTAAATGATGACGTCACCCTGCTGCTCTATTTAAAACCGGGAGCGAGGGCTTTACCGTTCTGACGAATTGCCCGATGATGCTGGATGTATTTACCAGCGAAACGTCGTACTCAAACTGTAAATGTTGTGGATTCACTTTTCAACACACTAGTGGGCTAAAGTAGTGCATTATTTGTCTTTTGTCAACGTGACACTTTTTTTTTGCTGATTGGCCGTGTCGGGTGGTGGAGGGTTACAACACATTTATAAATAACGCGATCTAACCTAAAAATCTTTATTATGAATAATATTGGTCGCGAAAGCCTACGTGTTAAAATTCCCTAATCGAACCAACCAAATGTTCCTCCCTAAAACCCTCGGCTGCAAGACCTCCCAGATTATATGGTCTTCCCAAGATCCATAAAGAAGGTACCCCACTACGGCCCATCGTGTCCACGATCAACTCTCCTACCTACAAGCCAGCCCGTTTTTAATCGGATACGCTGCTTCCCTTCACTGGCAAGACCACCTCAGCAGTACTCAACCCAATTGGTTTCTATGGTCAAGGACACTGTACTGTCTCCTGGCAATATCCTCGTGAGTTTTGATGTGATCTCTCTGTTCACCAAGATCCCAGTGCCTGACACCATAACAATAATTGAAGACTTGGTCCAACATGGACTGAACCCTGATGTACCTGCGCTGGTTAGGCACTGCCTCACCAACACTTACCTTTACCTGGAATGGTACCTTCTACAAACAAAATGAGGGTACCCCTATGGGTTCCCCCTTATCATCAGTGATAGCCAATGTTTTCATGGAGAAGTTTGAATCAGACGCCATCCAGACATCCACCCTTCGTCCTTCCCTGTGGAAGAGATATGTGGATGACACTTTCGTCATTTAGCCACATGGTCTCCCAGCATTGAACCATTTTCTAGTCCACATCAATTCCAGACACCCATCCATCAAATTCACCATGGAAGTGGAGAAAGATGGCAAGCTGCCATTCTTGGATGTTCTGTATGAGAGGAGGCCTGATGGCTCTTTGGGACATTCCGTTTACAGGAAGGTCACCCACACAGATTCCCATTTGAAACCTTATTCCCACTACTACCCGGCTCAAAATAATTATCTCATCAAAACTCTATACCATAGGGTTCATTGCATCTCTGACCAACACCACCTGGCCAGTGAATTAAAACATGTACATCTGACCCTCAAGATGAACGGATACTCAGACCGTACTATTCGCCAACCTGTTTCTCTCACCATACAGAAACAACCACCTGAAACGCCAATTAAAATCGTCACGCTGCCATACATAGCAGGCGTTACCAAAAATATTTCCAAAATTCTAAACAAAACAAGATCCAGGTCCGGTTCAATACAGTACACAAAGTCCGTGATCTGATCCCATCCATAAAGGATGTAATTCCTGACTTACAGTACCCCGGTGTTTACAAATTGAGTTGTACCTGCGGTGACTGCTATATCGGGGAGACGAAACGACATATTTCTGACCGAATTCGCGAGCACAAATCAGATTTGAAACACGGCAGAACTAATTCTTCTGCCGTAGCTGATCACTGTTACAACGCTGTGGGTTATCATGATATTGTTTTCTCCGATAACAAAGGTACTCTGCACGCCGTCTGGATACCACCCAAGATTTGTCCATGAAGCCATACAGATATACAAACATAGACATAACTTCAACCGAGAAGATGGATTCAAATTGAGCAGTCATTGGAAAGATGTGATTAACCATGTTAAACCTCAACTGCTACTCTCCCCCGCTCCGCGTCCCCCCTCCATCCGTGGCTCTGATGTTTTCTAGGACGAGCTTCACCTTCCTGGCTCCTCCCACAACCCCCCCCCCCCGCCAATGCTGCACCCATCTTCCCTGGCTCCTCCCCCTCCTCTTACCCTATATAACAGTATATCATCACAAATAGCTCTCTCTACAGTTATTTTGCTGTGCCTTTTTTACACCTGATGAAAGAAGCTTGTATGGCCTCCGAAACGTCGTGATTTAATTTAGTTGTTTTTCATTTATTTATTATTATTTTTCCCCTACGTGACTTTACCGAAAAAAACCAAAGAGCATAAACAGATCTTGTTCAGGGCCGGCCTAGCCCTGATCTTAAAGAGAATAAAATTGCTCCGATTTGAACTAGACAATTTAGACAAGGTTCCCTCTTGAAATCGCACTTTACATTGCCATAAAAAAAATGTCTACATTGGATTGGGAACATGTAGATAACACGACTGCCTCATCAGCCTCCTCAATGTCAGCTAAATGCAAAGATAACCTGATTGCCAAGTTCAACCTCCTGTCCAGGAAGAATCCAGATCCACACGTTAAAAAGTTAGATGGTGACAAGATTGTTATCAATCAGAGTAACAGCCCAATTTCCGACAACCTAAAATCGGTTCTAGCTAAAGGGTTGAATTTCGCAGTCACCCCTAAACAGATCCCAATTGATGATATCATTGCCCAGGTCGACGTAGCCCTTAAGGGTTTGGGACACATTCCTGCAGACGTGGCAAGATTGGAAATCGCTGCAATCCTCAAAAACGCTACGACACCGATTATCAGCATCAATAAGGATGAGCGCTTTGAGCTTTCTCAACTAAAAAAGAGAGATGACATAGTCATCCTCTCAGGCGACAAGGGCAATTCCACTGTCATCATGGACAAACCCACATACAACAACAAAATTCAGGACCTACTTAATGATGGTAGCTATACCAAAATCAATAGAGATCCCACCAACCACCTGGTTACGAAAACCAACAATATCATCACTGATTCGACATCTTTAATGGAACCAACTAAGCGGCTTTCCTTAAAATCCTCTGCTGCTAGACCACCCAGATTTGATGGCTTACTAAAAATCCATAAAGAAGGTACACCACTTCGGCCTATCGTCTCCATCATTGACTCACCCACCTACAAACTGGCCCGATTTCTGTTTGAGACCTTACAACCATTCACTGGTAAGACCACCTCAGCTGTACTTAACTCAGCTCACTTGGTATCGTTAATTAAGGACATCTCACTATCTCCAGGTGATTTGCTTGTCAATTTCGATGTAGTATCTTTGTATACCAAAGTTCATTTTCCTGATACCATTGCAATCATTTGGTCCAAGGACTGAATGCTGATGTACCGACCCTGGTTAGACACTGACTCACCAACACTTACTTCACCTGGAATGGAACATTCTACAAACAAGTTGAGGGTACCCCAATGGGTTCTCCCTTATCTCCACTTGTAGCCAATATTTTCATGGAAAAATCTGAGACAGATGCCATGCAGACATCCCCCACCCTACGTCCTTCCTTTTGGAAGAGGTACGAAGATGACACGTTCGCCATCTGGCCACATGGCCTACCAGCTCTGGACCAATTCCTCCACCACATAAATTCCATACACCCATCCATCAAATTCACCATGGAGGTGATAAAGGATGGCAAGTTACCATTCTTGGATGTTTTAATCGAAAAGAGACCAGATGGCTCAATGGGACACTGTCTACAGGAAAGCCACCCATACGGATGCCTACCTAAAACCTGACTCCCACCACCATCCATTCCAGAAGAATTCCCCATCAAAACTCTACACCATAGAGCTCGATGTATTTCTGACCATCACCACCAAGCCAGTGAACTGGAACACGTACACCAAGCCCTCAAGATGAATAGATATTCAGACTACACAATCCGTAAAGCTATCACCCCAACCATTGGGAAAGAACCGTCTGAGGACCCAATCAAAACCATCACTTTGCGATACAAAGCAGGGGTCACCAAAAATATTTCCAAGATCATGAGCAAACACAAGATCCAGGTTCGATTCAACACAGTACATAAAATTCGTGATTTGATCCCATCTGTGAAGGATGTGATCCCTGACATGCAATACCCCAGTGTATACAAACTAAGCTGTGTTTGTGGCAGTAGTTACATTGAGGAAACTAAGCGACATGTCTCGGACCGTGTGCGTGAACATAAGGCAGATCTGAAACACGGTAGGACCAATACCTCAGCTGTGGCTGATCATTGTTTTAATGCTGTGGGCACACACAAAATTGTTTTTTTCAAGAAGGTACTCTGCAAACCCATTGGCTATCAGCAAAGATTCGTTCATGAAGCCATGCAGATATATAAACACAGACACAATTTCAACCGAGAATATGGGTACAAACTGAGCAATCATTGGAAGGACGTTATTAACCAGGTTAAGTCATAACTGGCTGTGATGCTTAGTAGTTATTTTCGACTCTCTGGTATTACATTAACAGGTTAAATGCATTTACATTAACAGGTTAAATGTCTCACTAACACAACCACCGTTGCTCGTTTTCCTTGACGTGGCGGTGGCTCTACGATCTTACATTGATATGCTATCTCTCAGAATACAATGGCCACCCCCGCAGCGTCGTCGTCGTGGAGGTTGCCCAGCTCTCTCCGATCTTACATTTACATGCAAATTTATTCGCTAGCCCCGCCCACTTCGCTTATGACCCTTGGGCTACACCCATCTCAAATCTTTATAACATACTGCCTCAGCAGCTCTCTTGCTAATTTTTGTTACCTGATTACAATTGCTTGCGTTGTAATCGAAACGTTGTGATATTTTAAATTATTTTTTATATCTACGTGGCTTTGCCGAAAGACCAAAAGAATATGAATTCCTGCAGTCACGAAAGCTTTAAGTCATTAATTAGCTTGTTTGTCTATTTTAATTGCATAATCTTGCAATTCGATCGTTGACGCTTTTCTAACCCCCCTCCCTTGTTTTTGTTAATTACATTATGAATGCGAATGCATGGCATGAACACCGTTGTTTGAGGCGGTAGCCTGTTTGTTTTTCTTCTCATCGCATAGTCTTGTGATGCAGCCGTTAATGCTTCTAACCAATTAGTACGAAGTGATGAGTACGTATATTCGTATCGGTACTGTGTAGTTCTACTCTAATTATATTATTTGTGGATGTCAATGTAAGTTGATATTAAAGTTGCTTATAACAAGAAGGATCCGAGTGCTTCTTTCCTAAATTGTGCATCATTTTATCTCAATTAGGAGAACTGTATCCTGTTGTGAGATCTGAATCCTGAGACCTGACAAAATTACACATAATTTGGCAAAGTGTGATTCATTGATATTATCACGATTGATAATACATACCCCTAGAGAATGAGAGAGACAATAATGAGAACTTTTGATAATTTTATGCATACTCACTTAATCATATTCATTACTAGAGTGGGTGTGTGAGTGGGGGAGTGAGTGAGTGGTTGATTAAGTGGTTGAATGAGTAGGTGAGTGAGCGGTTAATTGAATGAGTCGGGTGAGTAATTGAGTGACTAAGTGGGTGAGTAGTTGAGTGAGTGACTGAGTGGTTGAGTTAAAGGGTGGCTGTGTGGGTTGAGGGTCGCCCCTCAGCAGCGTCGATCCCAGGCCATGAATGCACGCTGCATTCTTCCGCTCAGCAGCACTGGGTGGGGCTGCCTGGACACACGAGACAGGGGTCATTGTCGTGGGTGAGTGAGTCAGTGGGTGCGTGACGGAGTGAGTGGGTTAGTGGTTCAATGAATGAGTGTGTGAGTCAGTGGGTTAGTGAGTGAGGCAGTGAGTGGTTTCGGGGGGGGGGGGTAGCTGTGGGTGATTGAGTAGTTGAATGATTGAGTGGGTGGGTTAGTGACTGAGTGAGTGGATGGATGGGTCAGTGAGTGGATAAGTGAGTGTTTGGATGTGTAAGTGGTTGAGTGGGTGACTGAGTAGGTGAGTGGATCATTGGATGGGTGAGGGAGTGGGTGGTTGAATGATTGAGTGAGTTGGTGAGTGGTTGAATTATTGAGTGGGTAGGTGAGCAGGTGAGTGAGTGCATGAATGGATCGGTTGGTGGGTGAGTGGGTGGGTGAATGAGTGGGTGAGTGGGTCGCTGGGTCAGTGAGTGGCTGAGTGAGTGGTTGGAAAGGTAATTTTAATGCCCGAGTTAGTTCTGGTGTTGGCACCTGGTCTGGAGTGATTGGAGGGCGTGGGCCAGATCAGCTCAATAACGGTAGGAGGCTGCTAAAGTTCTGTGCAGTCCATGGGCTTAAAAACATGCTGTTCCAGCATCGGCACATCCACCCAACATCATGCCAGGTCCAAGCAAGAACATCTGATGGACTATATAGTGATGGAACAGCGAATGTTGTCCAAATTAACTTTAAGTGCCACATCTATCACCATCATTAGGCGAAAGAATGGTGATCCGATCTGCGACACCCCAAGAACAGGTTTGCAGATTTGCTTAGCATTTCCGTGAAGTCTTGGGGAAGGAGAAATCCCTCAGCCCGGAAAACTTCATGGGGCAAATTTGGGATGACCCTGTTGAGGCTGCGGTGCCTCCAATATTGGAAGACGTTGTCACCCACTGAGTGGCTCACAGAGGTGTCATCTGTTGAGGAAGTACAGAAGACGATACAGAGTCTGGGACAAGAAAAAGAAAGGGTTAGAGTTTATCTCCCAAGCGAAATGCTGAAGGAGGGTGACGTTTATGCGCAGACTGCCTGACATGTCAACATAATAACAGTGGACCACTGGACAGGTTCTTCAGGATTGGAAGGATAGCCTGGTGGTCCCCCTCTTTCAGAAGGGGGACCCGCACAGACTGTATAAACTACTGGGGCATCTTCCTCCTCAGTGTGCTGGGAAATACCCTGGCAAGGATAATTCAACATTGCCTTGCCAGGCACGCTGAGTAGAGGCTTGTGGAGCCCTAACGTGGTTTCAGGCCAAGGCGGTCCTGCATAGATGCGATATTTTCTGTCCATTTGCTACAGCAAAGGTGTAGGGAAGTCCAACAGGACCTACATCTCTGCTTTATTGACCTGATCAAGGCCTATGATACCATCAATAGGCCTGGGCTGTAGGTTGTTCTTCGTGCTTTCGGAGAACCTGATTCTCTGCTCACAATCATTAAGGACCTTCATGATGGTGAGTAGGCCCATGTAAAACTACGTGGCCAGGAATCTAAGCCATTCTCTATTCATCTTGGGGTGTGACAGGGATGTCCTCTGACTCCCGCATTATTTAACATCTATATAGACCGCGTAGTACGTAAAGCCTTCAATGCTTGTGTAGTGACTGTAAATGTCACTGTGTGGTGCCGGGCTTGCGAAGCCATGGCGGATAATGTGTTGGCATTACGTGCAGCCCGCTTACTGGGCGTAGTACCAGCCCCAGCGGGGCTTGGGTGAGCGCTGGTCAGCGCGGAGGCACCACGTACAGTGTGCGGTGCGGGCTGCCGTTGAGGGAGCGAGAGAGAGCGTCAGGCAGCCAAGGTTACGTTGGGGCATGATACGCTGGTTGACTTGCCGACACGTGACCGGATGACATTGGAGGGGGGTCACCGGTGGATGGAGGGCCGTTGGGCGGTCACGTGGTATAGAGGAGCTCTCAGGAGCCTTCGGAAAAGAGCTCGAGAGATCTAGAAGGTGAACAGGGTGAGAGGCTGAGCCAGCCCCAGCCCGGGTCGATATAACGGAGGCCCCGTGAGGGGCTCGGGGTTCTTAGGGTTGTTGGTGAAGAAGATCCAGGTCGGGTTGAAGAAGCCTCTAGCCACGCGGTCTGGGACCCAGCTCGTGGTCCGGAACGGGATAGCGAACCATGTCTAGTTCTGCCATAATGTGATTAGATGGGCGTTCAACACCCAAGTGTAGGTTACGTTATGTTATGTTGAGTTGGTTTAATAAATAGTGCTGCTCCCAAGACAACGTCTGCGACTCAGTTGGACTCACTACAGTTGTACCAGAGGAATTTCCATCTGGTACAGGTACCATGGGAGGCTGATCGATGCCCAGGTGTGATGGCTCCCTAGTGGTCAGCTATGTAATGTATGCTGATGATCTGGTGATTGCTGCTCACTCAGAGAGTTGGAGGCACTGCTGCTGAACCTGGAGCATGCCACTTAAAGGTGGGGCCTTACTTTCAGCCTCACCAAAACTAAGCGCCTGCATGGATATTTTGTGCCATCAGATACTCTACCCAACAACTCCTAATTGGTGATGGAGCAGTTGTGGAGAGAGAAGAGAGATTTCCATACCTGGGCAGTGTGCTCATGACTGGCTCCGGTTTGACAGCAGAGGTCTCGCTCTGAATCAGTTGAGCGACATTATAATTTTCATTGGCTGTGTAACATTTGTGGAAGCTACCTGGTCTGTTGCTCCACACAAAGCTTCAGGTCTTCTCGGCCACAGTAATGCCCTGCCTTCCCTATGCTTGCGAAATGTGCACCCCCCTAATGGGACATCTTCGCCGATTAGAAACAGTTAGGCTTGCTTGCCAACGATTCATCCTGGGCTTAGCCAGGCTGGATTGTGTGAAAAATTCACAAATCCTGAAAAAGATCTGGACAAAGTCCCATCGGTGAGCTCCTCTGGCAGGCAAGGCTGTATTGGCGGGGTCATGTAGCCTGCATGCCCAGCCACCGCATGACTGAACAGCTTTTGTTTGGGGCTAAACGGTCACGGCATGGGCTAAAGGAGAGATGTAGGTTCTGTTGGACTTGCCAATGACCGGTACCAACGGTGTCAAGATCGGCCTCTGTGGAGGAGGCTCGTGAAGGACGCTGCTACTGGGCAGTTGGAGGCAATCGCCTGCAGCAACAATGGAGGGCAGAGGAGCGATGCTCAAAACCACAATCGGAGTGCCGGTCGGCTAAAACACAGCAAGTTGGCACAGTAGGGGACACAGGTGGTGCATCGGCCAGTCATCTCAGTCAGTCGACCTATGGCACATGCTGGGTCTGCCCCGTGACCTCCTTCCAGTAGGCGTTCAACAATTCACGTGGCCTTAACATGCACATCGCCTGGCACAAGCGACGTGGTGACGTCAACATCACTTGTGGTGAATGGCAGTTGTTGTTGAGTGGATGATTGAGTGGATGAGTGAGTGGGTGGATGAATGAGTGGGTCACTGAGTGATTGTGTGGGTGGATTAGTAAGAGTGTGAGTGAGTGGTTGGATGAGTGAGAAGGTGAGTGAGTGCGTGAATGGATGGGTGAGTGAGTAAGCTTCATGATGTCTACACGCACCACGGGTGCTGGTGGTTGTGGCTGTGAGAGTCCTCAGCAGCCTGAAGGAATGGGCCCCTCTGTGGACTCATACCACTTGGTTAGTTAGCAATCATCATCCATCAGACACTACACTATACACCACACTACACAATATGCTACACTACTATACAATACACTATAAACTACACTACACACGACACTACACTGTATACTACACTATAATACACAACATTATACACAACAATACTATACACTGCACTTCATATTACACTAATATAAACTACACAATATACTCCACTACAATACACTAAACTATACACTGCACTACTATACACTACAGTATATATTACAGTAATATATGCTACACAACTATACACAACACCATATACTGCACGACTATACACTATACTATACACTACACTAATATACCCTACTATACACTAATCTACGATGTACAACTTTACACTACACAAACATACTCTACACAATATACTACTTATTTTCCCTACACAATATACCACGCGACAGTATATATGTGTAGTGGTATAGTGCTGGCTGCTGGTGGAAAAGGGCAACTGCGGTGTACAGCTGTACTTGCGTCAGCAGGCCACAATATATACAAGAGGGGGACATCCAGGGGAAAGGTCACAGAAGGGGCTCATCGGGAAGCCCCAGGAACCCGCTAGAAGGTTCCAGAAGGGGGGCGTGGCCGGGGCGGAGCAAGACCATGCTGGGAGTATAAGAGGGGGCCCTGAGCGGGAGCTCGGGGCTGTTGCTGGAAGTGGAATCCCCGTTGTGCTGTTGAAGATAATCGTCGTCACTATCCACTCGTCATCGTCATCACCATCTCCTCGTCATCATTTCCGTCTTCACCAACCCGGGGTGCTGTTAGTCGGACAGCCTACCGACTGTTATCACTAAGTAGTACTGCCGACAATAGATGGTTTAAGTATAATGGTTTACACCCATGTAGGGTGTGTTTATATATCCGGATGGTGCTCGTTTAATAAAAAACGTGCCTCAAAGTATTACTGTCTCTGATCTACGTCACTACATACGTATAAAACACTAATATACATTACACAATATACCTCACTACTATACACTACAGTATATATTACACTAATATACATTACACAATATACCTCACTACTATACACTACAGTATATATTACACTAATGTACACTACATACGTATAAAACACTAATATACATTACACAATATACTTCACTACTATACACTACAGTATATATTACACTAAGAAACACGACTATACATTACACTATACACAACACTACTATACTGTACTATACGCTACAGTATATATTACACTAATGTACACTACAGTATATATAAAAATAATATACACTACAGTATATATTACACTAATATACATTACACTACTATATACTAAACTTCTATACCCTACTATACACTCCACTACCATACCCTACTATACACTAAACTACTATACACTACTCTATACTATACAATACACGACTATACACTACTATGCACTCCACTATACGCTGGTCTACTATACACTACACTATACACTGCACGACTATACACTACACTATATACTATACATTAACCTATACACTACACTACTGTACAATACAGTATAAACTACACTATACATTACACTATAATTGAGGTTTTTTTTTGGGTTAGATCGCGTGAATTTACGCGATCTAACCCAAAAAAACCTCTATTATGGATGATATTGGTCACGAAAGTCTACGTGTTAAACACTATACTCTACACTGCTATACACTACACTACTATGCACTACACTACTACGTACTACACTGTACACTACACTACTACATACTACACTACACAATACACTCCAATAATATACACTACACTACACACCTTGATCTGGTGTCCGGAGGAAAGGGCTGAGTGATTGATCCACGCCAGGTTTTCCACACCCCACCCGATCGATCCAACGTGGTGTTTGGTAAAGGCTAGGATACTCATAATAAAGGTTTTTGGGTTAGATCGCGTTTATTTATAAATGTGTCGCAACCCTCCACCACCCGACACGGCCAATCAGCAAAAAAAAGTGTCACGTTGACAAAAGACAAATAATTCACTACTTCAGCCCACCGGTGTGTTGAAGAGTTAATCCACATTTACAGTTTGAGTACGACGTTTCGCTGGTAAATACTTCCAGCATCATCGGGCAATTCGCCAGAATGGTAAAGCCCTCGCTTGCTCCCGGTTTTATATAGAGCAGCAGGGTGACGTCATCACTTAACTCATCAGGTGCAGTGATTAGAGGCGGAGGGGGGGGGGGTAATGTAATTATATAATCGATTAGTAATCAGTCATTGGTTATGATTAGTAATGAGTTGTAGATTAGTAATTCTTTAAATCAAAATGTAATGTGTATTATTTAATAATACGCTTCCAGGCCGCACTAAGCCGGTAGCTGTCAGAACGATTAAAGTTATTCTTGTTCCTCTCAATTTCAATGGATTCTCTAATTAGTCTTTGCCAGTAATAATTAGTTTTACACACCACTGCAACATTGTCAAAATCAATTGAGTGTCCTTGTTGACAAGCATGTTCTGCCACTGCCGACAGTTGTGTTTGAGATAATTTAATATTTCTCTGATGTTCTTTTAGTCTTACGCTGATGTTACGTCCCGTCTGCCCAATGTAGCAGCTGCCACATGAACAATTAATCCGATATACACCTTCTGTTGATAGTTTAGGTAATGCGTCTTTAGTGCAAGATACTAGTTTTTGAATTTTGTGTACTGTACCAAATCTTACTGTAATGTTTTGCTTTTGCAAAACGCGGGCTAATTTGTCAGTTACTCCTGAGATATATGGAATTTTTTTTATTGTTTTAACAATCTGGTCGCTTTCAGTAGTATTGCTTTGCGATCGTGATTTGGCATTCAGTGCTCTGTTAATTTGAGCATTATTGTAGCCATTCTGTCGCAGTGCGTCTTTAACGTGTTTAATCTCTCTCACTAGACTCTCACCATCTGACACCGTTTTCGCCCGATGTACGAGCGTCTTGATAAGAGAGGATTTTTGAGCTGGATGATGATGTGATTCTGCATTCAGATAGGCATCAGTGTGCGTTTGCTTTCTGTAAACGCTGTGTGTTATTTTACCGTTTAGGCCATGTCCAAGCAAAATATCTAGGAATGGGAGTGTGTTATTCACCTCCATTTCCATGGTGAACTGGATGGCCGGGTTTTGTGCATTGAGATGATTTAGAAAATCATTAAGTGTATCTTTACCATGTGGCCAGACAACCAAAGTGTCATCCACATACCTAAACCAAAAGGATGGTTTTAATGTGCTCGAGGCAAGTGCTCTTATTTCAAAGTTTTCCATGAACAAATTTGCTATAGCAGGGGATAAAGGAGAACCCATTGCTGCTCCTTCCTTTTGTTTAAAGAAATCCCCTCTCCATAAGAAGTAAGTGTTATTTAAACAATGGCCAGCAAGTTTCGGAATATCTTTTTGTAAACCGGTATTCTTTACTAGTGTATCAAGTAATTTAAGCGATTCGTCCACTGGAACCTTAGTGAATAGAGAAATAACATCAAAACTTACCAGAATATCATCAGGAGTAAGTTTAATATCTTTAATCACATTCACAAGATGTTCTGAATTTTTTATGAATGAAGATGTCTTACCGATGTAGGGCTGTATTTGTTTGGTTATATATTTTGCTAATTGATATGTGGCAGAGCCAATTGTACTGACTATGGGTCGTAATGGGATGCCGATTTTATGAATCTTTGGTAGCCCATAGAGTCTAGGTGGTTTTGAGGCCCTTGGCTTAATTAGGTATTGCTCATTTTTAGGGATTAATGAATTTGCAATTATTGCAGTGGTCTTACGTTCTAAAGTATTAGTTGGATCTCGTTTAATTTTAATGTAGGTACTTTCCTCTAGTAAATTTCTAATTTTATTATCATAATCGGCTCGTGACATCACTACAGTAGTGCGGCCTTTATCAGCTGCTAGGATTTGGATATCCTTATTTACACGCAGCTCTCTTAAGGCTTTTGCCTCGTTAGAGCTAATATTTACTTTTGGAACTTTGCTATTCTCAATTATTTTAGCAACCTCATGTCTAGTCATCTCTGCCTCATTATGTGGAAGGAGTCTAACTGCTGATTCTACCTCAGCAATTATCTCATCCACTGGAATTGTGCTTGGGGTAACGGCAAAGTTAAGGCCTTTAGAAAGGATAGAGACCATGTCACCAGAACATCTTGTGAATGTGATTAAAGATATTAAACTTACTCCTGATGATATTCTGGTAAGTTTTGATGTTATTTCTTTATTCACTAAGGTTCCAGTGGACGAATCGCTTAAATTACTTGATACACTAGTAAAGAATACCGGTTTACAAAAAGATATTCCGAAACTTGCTGGCCATTGTTTAAATAACACTTACTTCTTATGGAGAGGGGATTTCTTTAAACAAAAGGAAGGAGCAGCAATGGGTTCTCCTTTATCCCCTGCTATAGCAAATTTGTTCATGGAAAACTTTGAAATAAGAGCACTTGCCTCGAGCACATTAAAACCATCCTTTTGGTTTAGGTATGTGGATGACACTTTGGTTGTCTGGCCACATGGTAAAGATACACTTAATGATTTTCTAAATCATCTCAATGCACAAAACCCGGCCATCCAGTTCACCATGGAAATGGAGGTGAATAACACACTCCCATTCCTAGATATTTTGCTTGGACATGGCCTAAACGGTAAAATAACACACAGCGTTTACAGAAAGCAAACGCACACTGATGCCTATCTGAATGCAGAATCACATCATCATCCAGCTCAAAAATCCTCTCTTATCAAGACGCTCGTACATCGGGCGAAAACGGTGTCAGATGGTGAGAGTCTAGTGAGAGAGATTAAACACGTTAAAGACGCACTGCGACAGAATGGCTACAATAATGCTCAAATTAACAGAGCACTGAATGCCAAATCACGATCGCAAAGCAATACTACTGAAAGCGACCAGATTGTTAAAACAATAAAAATTCCATATATCTCAGGAGTAACTGACAAATTAGCCCGCGTTTTGCAAAAGCAAAACATTACAGTAAGATTTGGTACAGTACACAAAATTCAAAAACTAGTATCTTGCACTAAAGACGCATTACCTAAACTATCAACAGAAGGTGTATATCGGATTAATTGTTCATGTGGCAGCTGCTACATTGGGCAGACGGGACGTAACATCAGCGTAAGACTAAAAGAACATCAGAGAAATATTAAATTATCTCAAACACAACTGTCGGCAGTGGCAGAACATGCTTGTCAACAAGGACACTCAATTGATTTTGACAATGTTGCAGTGGTGTGTAAAACTAATTATTACTGGCAAAGACTAATTAGAGAATCCATTGAAATTGAGAGGAACAAGAATAACTTTAATCGTTCTGACAGCTACCGGCTTAGTGCGGCCTGGAAGCGTATTATTAAATAATACACATTACATTTTGATTTAAAGAATTACTAATCTACAACTCATTACTAATCATAACCAATGACTGATTACTAATCGATTATATAATTACATTACCCCCCCCCCCTCCGCCTCTAATCACTGCACCTGATGAGTTAAGTGATGACGTCACCCTGCTGCTCTATATAAAACCGGGAGCAAGCGAGGGCTTTACCATTCTGGCGAATTGCCCGATGATGCTGGAAGTATTTACCAGCGAAACGTCGTACTCAAACTGTAAATGTGGATTAACTCTTCAACACACCGGTGGGCTGAAGTAGTGAATTATTTGTCTTTTGTCAACGTGACACTTTTTTTGCTGATTGGCCGTGTCGGGTGGTGGAGGGTTGCGACACATTTATAAATAAACGCGATCTAACCCAAAAACCTTTATTATGAATAATATTGGTCGCGAAAGCCTACGTGTTAAACAAAGGCTAGGATAGCAATCACCAGCATCATCATCATCAGCATCATCATCAGCATCATCAGCATTATCATCCTCATCACCAGCATCATCAATCAGCATCATCATCGTCATCAGCATCATAAGCATCATCATATACATCAGCAGCAGCATCATCAGCAGCATCGCCATCATCGTCATCCGCATCATCAGCATCATCGTCAGCATCATCATCATCGTCAGCATTATTAGCAGCACCACAAGCATCATCATCAGCATCATCACCAGCATCATCAGCAGCATCAGCAACATCACTGATGATGATCATCATCAGCATCATCACCATTACACTGTAGCAACATTATCATCAACATCATCAGCATCATTATCAGCAAACAGCAACATCAGAAGGATCAGCATCATCGTCAGCATCATTATTGGTAACAGGTGGCCGTGGGGGAGCTGGATCGATCAATATTATTAATTACATACACACGGCGAGTTGAGATGGGTGGAGTGACAAATATGGAAAATAGAGAGACAGAGGGACAGAGGAGAGAGACAGAGGACAGAAAGTCAGGGCGAGAGAGACAGAGGCGAGAGAGACAAAGGAGAGAGAGAAAAAGGAGAGAGAGACAGAGGAGAGAGAAAGAGGAGAGAGAGACAGAGGAGAGAGAGAGACAGAGGAGAGAGAGACAGAGGAGAGAGAGACAGAGGAGAGAGACAGGAGAGAGAAACAGAGGAGAGAGAGACAGATGAGAGAGAGGCAGAGGAGCGAGAGACAGAGGAGGGAGAGACAGAGGAGAGAGAGACAGAGGAGAGAGAGAGACAGTGGAGAGAGAGACAGATGGGTCTTTCATTTTAAAGGGGGGGGGGGGGGTTACATAAAGCAAAGCATAAAAAAACAAAAAAAACGAAATTATGAACGGAGCAAAGTGTCAACTACACCGAGCATCTTCTTGTTTCCTCTGATCGTAAAAAAAAAGAAAAAAAAGAGAGAGACAGAGGAGACTTTGGCGTTTAAGGCCGCTTTTATTAGGCCGCCAGCCGCAATTGCGCTGGAGCCT